GGCCTCCTCCCACCGCCGCGTTTGGCTCCCCTCAGCCAGGGAGGGAAGCAGGGAGGCAGACGGGGTCATGCCTTTCAGCTGGGCTCTGCCCTCGGCGGGGGGCGTGCACCTCTGCCCGGGGAGGCTGACCGGGCCCCGCGGAGATAGCCAGGCAAAAACTCAGCTCGGCCTTAGCGTCAGCACCAAGAAGGGGAAGTCCCTGCCTACCTCAGAGAGACCTCCTGAGGTTGCCAAAGAGACCCCCTCGCCCAGACTTAGATTAGATATTGGGAAGAAATTGTTCCCCTGAGGGTGGTGAGACCCTGGCCCAGGCTGCCCAGAGAAGCGGTGGCTGCCCCCTCCCTGGCAGGGGTCAAGGCCGGGTTGGGTGGAGCTCTTAGCAACTTGGGCACCCTGGGCTGGGGGAAGGTGTCCCTGCTCATGGCAGGGGGGTTGGAACCAGATGATCTGTAAGGTCCCTTCCAACCCAAACCATTCTATGATTCATTCTATGGTTGTGGACTGGCAAGAAGGTGGGCAGGCTGCCCTGAGAACGGCTGTGCAATGCCAGGCGTGCGGCAAATGCGGAGACGCGGTTTGGGGTCTGCTAGCAGAGAGGACCAGAAAATCACCGCTTCTCAAAACACTCCAACTCTTTTCTCGGCCCTTACCGGGCTGGAGGAGAAGCAGCAGTAGTAACATGCGGGTCAGGTGCGCTTCTGTGGTCATTTAAAGGACAGGATTACAACCTGGTCCCCTGTTGCGCAGTTTCATCCCGTTTGCAGACGTAGATTGCCTCTGCTGCTGAACAGGGCTGGAAAAAAAGAGTGACTCGAACGTCAAGCTCCTCGTCAATGCAGTTACAAGGTACGGCCTGGCAAAAATGCTTGGCGTGATGACAGCAAGAGCTGGAAGGCAGACAAATGCGTGCCGGCAGAAGCACCCCAGCGAGAAAGCTTCTCTTCCAAGCGGTCGGACACGCACGGGCTGAGCCACAGCCGCTCGGCCCCAAGGTACGGCATCAGGATCGCTGCAGGGTCAATTTATCATTGGCTGCTCTCCTCTTCCACTTTTTTGTGTGCTTCAAACTAAAAATGCCAAGGAAGATTACCTTGGTAATGTCTATTTTAGTTGAATTCAAATCTTTGTGCCTTGCTTCAGTTTGCTTTATGCAAATTGTATCAATCCAATGTCACCCCAACAGCACTTTCCGTATAAATCACGTCACTTAACCCTCGCTGAGCCTCAGCGGGGCACAGACCTGCAGTCCTTAGGGGACCCTGCACTTACTTTGCTCGTGTTGCTTCAACAGCTATGAGCTTCTGCGACATTATTGTTACCACAGGGGATAAAAAAAAGTGACAAGAGGCTTTCTAATAATTCTGTGCCTGTAATATATAACAATAAAATGCTTAACTCCTAATAGTGACTTTTTTCCAGCTGTCTGAAAAACTGTATAAAAGTAAAGGCAAGTTTAGCAGAGCTGATGAAATTTTTAGAAATAGTTATTTTGTGAGATTACAGAACTCTGCTGAATTGCATTTACTGACTTTTACGAACATTTATCAAAGAGCAATAAAGCTTACCCTGAGAACGGCACTACATTTTAATGATGCAAAAGGCAGAACAGGCCAAGCCTTTCATGTGCTTCGTATCATGATTTGGGGAATTTAAGGTCAGCTGAAAGAATACAGAAATGTTCAGACATGAAAGTGTGTTTTACACAGTTGTAATTGTTGGATCTTCTACATTACACCTCCTCCACAAGTTAGAAAACCTAAATCTGGGACATTTACGTTTAACATAAGGCAATTGTGACAAAAATTTGACTTTTGCAAATAAATGAGAAAGATAAAGCTATTTTTAATTCAGATAATTCAAATTAGTTCAGATAATTTAAAAACTGAAAACCTGAAAATCCAGCACCTCTATAGATCTCACAAGATTACTAGCAGAGGTGGCAAAAAATGTTGCCATGCATAGAGGCTTTAACTACTGCAGCA